CCTTTGATTGGCCTTTGCACGATGCACATAGCTGCGCAGTGCCAAGAACCATACATGGCCCACAGAAAGCCAGCAGACTCCTGTGCCTGAGAGAAAACGAAGTCTGACTGCTGGTCCTGGAGTATGGGCACAGTAGATGCCAGCACTTCAGGAATCAAATGTTTTGCAACAGCTGATATATAAATAAGTGCAGGTACCTGTCTGAATAGTGGAACAGTGGAGGGGGCTTAGATTTTTTAAATTATTTCTCTGTATTTAGGTGAGATTTGGGCTACAAACCCTGTATTTTTCCTGCCCTGAAAGCTGAAGCATCACACAACCGCTGGTGCATCCATTATTGGAGTTGCTCTTGGCCATGAGGTCCTTCGGGCTGTGCTGCTGGGGAGGCACTGAGGGGCAGGGACAAACTCTGCTGGGGCTGCTGCCAGGCGCTGAATTTGGGATGTCTGCGTGATACACACGCACACTCCTTCTGTCACACAACAAGGACATCATGGGCAGCTCTGTGACAAGCTCTGAAATGAGTATGCAGGAATGTATCTATATTTGTGCCAAAATATGCCTTGCAGTGGAGGGTGGTGCATCAACCAAGCCCAAGAGGTGGGAATGGGCATGAGGAAACTGAAGTGGACTTACCGGGTACCCCTGGCTTTGGATGAATTTGTGTGAAGATTTAAAATAACTACTTCTTTTATAAGCTTAGGCATCTTCAGTCTTGACTTTGTCATTTTGTGCAATAATTCTTTGGTTTAGGGGACTGAGCTCTGGCTTGTGTTTCAGCTGAGCCCAGAGGGCAGGAAAAATATTGAGTTTATTAATTGTACATCGGATTTTGCCTATGATGATGTTTTTCTCTAGAGATTTGGGAGGGGGAGTATTAGGAACTTGTCACTGTGAAATTTTTTTTCTGTCATCCTGATGATTTTTAAATGTTTTCTTTGTGTTTCTCTTCAGTCTTATCACCTACACACTGCAGGGCACCCTTGAATCCAAGGGCAAAGTGAAAATTTATAGAGCAAACTGGGTATGCCCCATTCTGGATATGTCTACTTGCAGATAAATCCTAGACAGATCCCTGTCCCGAGGAGGGTACAGACGAGGGGAAACACTGAAAGAGGTGACAAAATCCAAATACACTTGTGTGCTTTGGTTTGTCTCACCTTGCTCCAGTGGTTCACAGCAGTCATAAATGCAACGTATGGCTGCTGTACATCGCTGGGTGGCACACAGCAGCCAAGGGCCTAGCGAATGCATCTGGCCCTATATTAATCGGGCAACAACCGACTGCTTAATTTCCACTCTAGTGAATCAGAAGGAAGAGGAGAGATAAAATAACGGGCAAAGAAGCACACAGGTTTGAGTAACTGTGCAGAAAGGAAGGACACTAAACAGTGCCGGTTGAGAGAAAAAACAGATACTGCTGTTGATTTCTGCAGATACTTCAGAGAAATCTTTAGTGCGGAATGACAGATAGTATCAGCAGCGACAGCCAGAAAAACCAGGGGAAAAAAGTCCTGTTTTTCAGGCCGTTGGAAACTTGAGACCCCTCCCTGTTTTTCAAGTACAACACAGGATGGCTGAAGCTATGGCTGAAAAAGCAAGTGGATAATATACTAATCAGCAGAGAATTAAAATAAGGAAGTTGAACTGTAGCCAAACCAGTGAAAGCTGGTGGTGGCTATTTAAATGTTGCTGTGTATAAAAAAAGATATTTATTATCACAAAGTTTTAACCTTTTTCCCCTCCCTTGATTTGACGTGCTCTCTTCTTGCCAGGGAGCAATTCCCTGCCATTGTCTTTCATCAGTGAATTTGAGCTTTACACTGATAAACACCGATAAAAAGAGAGCGGGTTTTTCTTCTAAAAAGCATTTTAGTCACTTTTCTCTAATAATTTTTGGGGAAAACAGTTGAAGCTAGAAAACTGGCAGAGTTGCTTGCCCGAGCCATAGAATTCTCTTTCTCGATTTTGGCAAAAAACAGATCTGATCAAGCAAAATTATGAGAATTGTAAATAAATCTTCCATCACCCCACCGGTCACCCTCTGTGGTCAGTTATATTTTTGAAGCTGTTATGTAAGTATCAGATATTTGGCGATTGCATGGCTTTACTAATCTCCAACCCAAGTAAAACCTTTTGGCGTGACACATCCTATAATTTGCTAAGTTTTCGAACAATGGTGCATTTTGCATTTCATATGCACTTTTCATCCGAGAACCTAAGAATATGCTCCCCTTGCTAAAGGACAGGGTAATTAATCATCAGGGCTGTTTGTAAGGAAAGGGCCTGGCTGTGGGAACAGTCTTGTAGACAAAGTAAAGGATAAAAATGTCTATATCCCACTGCTTTAATCACTCTGAGAAATATCTCCTGTACATATTAGGATTTTAAACCATTTGAATCTTATTTGTAAAGGTATCTTAAAACATTATTTTTTCGCCACTTAAGGTATGTTTTCACTCAAAAAGCTTTTCTTGTTGGTTATTCATTTTTTAAAGACACCATGAAGCTGTTTGTGCTCTATTTCTTGTTTTTCAAAAACCTCTTCATATATTAGATCCGTTACACATCTGTTTTCTGCAGGGAAGACTCTTCCAATTTTGCCTTAATTTCTATCCATTAAAATTATCAAGAATAATCTAAATAAATGAGAAAGATTTCCAAGACAGAATACTTACTAAAATGTGCAGACAAGTCTGTATTTTGAACCCAGGTGTTGTACCTCTTGAGCTCTGAACATCCCCAGAATATAAATGTTGATCAGTGCTCCAGCCGTTTATGCGAGTCAGCCACGGAGCAATGGCAGGAGAATTTGGAGAGCTTGTTTGATAAGCTTTTGTCACTTTTTATCCCATACCTCTCTGCTTTTAATTCTTTCCTCCCTGTTACTGTGTCAGATGTCCTGCTCATTCTCTCCAGGGCGCTTCCTCACAAGTCACATTCCTCTCTCTTGACATTCCACACGTGCGTAGGGTTTTACTCTGGTTGTTACAACCCCGGGACTGGAGCTGGGGCTGACATTCAGGCTGCTCCTGCTCCTCTATCTCCAGCATCCAAACAGACTATTAAGGAATTTGTCCTTGCGCTGCTGTTGTGTGTGGAGGGTGATCCTGGCTTAGGTTGCTGTCTTCCAGCCATGGTGGACAAGACCTTTGGTCCTGGTTTTCCCCAGTGTGTATATCCCTGCTTTTTGTTTTGAACTTGCTTACCGAGCCTGCGTCGTCCCAAGATGGGTGCTTTTAGTTGCATTTTTCTGTGCTATAAATGCAACTTTTGGACAAAACTGTTTGCAGGGAGGAGATGGATGTGAGGAGGGAATCCAAACCAGTTTGGTGGAGCTAACAAGGTGGCTGAGAAACATCAGGCATGTTATCTAGTCTTGCGATGCTCCAATGTAGTGATGTTAGTGGGGCTGTTTCACAACTGTAGTAAACAGGGATTAAAGTGGCCATTCTGCCACCGTAGGGACCTCCAGTGTTGTACCTATTGGTAGAATTATTCATCAGTAGAGTTAGACACCGTATATTTTCCGACCTGGGAAACTAGGTAAGTTCTTCTCCCTGAAGAAAAACACTAAATATGTACCTCTTCTTTGATGTGTTTTGTAAAGTCTGCTTGGTCCATAAGGGCAGAACCTCTCCCCCGTGCTTAAAAGGAAGGAATAGTGAAAGCTAATAGAAAAAATAAATTTCCTATTCTAGCTTATTTTCAAAGGTAGTTGTTGCATATCACACAACTGGAGATAAGATTAAATTTAATAATCATAGAGAGGTACAATTCCATTTCCTCCAGCGAGTCTCCACCTGTGTGTGCCCCAGCAGGACTGGGAAGGTGATGCTGTGGAGAGCGTGGCCATAGCTGTCTATTTATAGACCAGAGGAAGGGAGGAGAACTTGCTCTCCAAGCTGGACACGCATGCATCTGTTACCCAAGGATGGTAATGCAGTTCTTGCTCTTGTAAATAAGTTCTGGTTTTTAGCATGACAGTGATTTTGATTAATAAACGTGCGCCCTCTATTTATGCCTGAGGGTTTAGATGTTGTGGCAGAAAGTGACTTTTGTGCCTGAATGAATGTGTTTGTAAATTATTTTATGTCAGTAGCTTTACTTATGTCCTGCCCCACAAAAATTCACAGCTGTAAGGGCTTCTGCATAATGGGTGTTTGAAGGCCAGGCAGTTCAAATGCCAGGAATTGTGTTTACAAAATAAATCAAATAAGCCCAGCAATGACACCGAGAGCATCTTGATGCTGTCTGTTATTTTGGCAATTGTCAGTGGAATTCCCCTTACAGGAAAATCCTGTGAATGTATTGTCTGTCTCATATGTAATTTTAAAACCAAACTTAGTAATTCTGTTGCTGAGATAACATTTTCTAATTTGTATGGGTTTGGAGTAGTCTCTAGGAGGCTTCTTTGGAACCCTCTGGACCTCCTCCTTGGGCAATTCCCTAGGATTTTCTGTAAGAATTATCTCTAGGTAACATCATAACATTGAGGATATTCAGAAGAGCTAAGGAAGGCCACTTCTGAGAGCATGAATCATCTGTGACACTGAGTTGACACAACATTAAATGACACAACATTTCTCATATAAGTTCTAAAATCACATGAAAAGAACTCTTCCTATGTTTGCCCATCCCGTGGTAATTAGCACATGAATATTTTCCATTTTTAGTCTTTGAAAAAAATACTTTTATAGTAGTTAAAACAAGTGCATATTTTTCCAGCATCCTCCCCAGTATGATTGCTGTTCTTAAATATTTGTGCACACATTTGTATGTACATTTATTGTGCCTGTTAGTTCAGTTTTGTAGAACAAACGGAGAAAATGAAAATAGAGATTTTTAACCACAACAAGATTGGTTGTCTTTTAGCTCTGCACACACAGGCTTCATCTTGGAATGTCCCCAAAACGATGTGGTGATGGCAGCAAAGTCATCCATACTGGTTGAAATTACATTGGACTTCTCCTTTCTTTTTGTCCACTGTAGGTGTTCTCTGCCTGCCAGACAGCTTGAACCTTCACAAAGACCAGCAAAGGTCAAACAAGCCCGGGGAAGTGCAGATGTTCAGCCAGTCAGAGCTGAGGACCATCGAGCAGTCTTTACTTGCTACACGTGTGGGGAGCATCGCTGAACTCAGTAAGTACAAGTTTGTTGATAAAGTTTGGGTTTCTTTCCTAGGAGTAAAGCAAAGCCGCTTGCATTGCCTGGTGTGCAGAGGAGACGTGAGGGGGCATGTGTCATGTTAAAGGAGACTTTGTGTCAGATCTAGCCATGTTTATGCTCCATGGCCAGTTTCAAAGCTGAAGCTGTAGGAGGAGAGAAGTCTCATGCAGTCTTATAGGAGTGCCTATGACTTGTTTGCATACACTGCTCTCATTTTTAAAGGTGGAAGATGTTTTATTTCATCTTCCCTATGTTGCATTTGAGAGCATCTCACAGCTTGGCCAGGCTTGCAAATGTCTGTCATACTGGGGTCCTGTCTCATTTTACTGGGATGCCTATTTTGAGATGGGCAGGCAAAAAGCTGAAGGTTGCAGTAAGTGAAGGAAATACTATAAGGAATTTAAAGCAGAGCTGGTTTGACCTGTGTTACAAAGGGTCCTTCACCCTGTCTTTCCTTCTCCAGTTTCAGCAGAGGTAAGAGCCACAACTCAAACCTGCACCAGAGGAATTTGTACCTGCAAAATAAATTATTTGCTGTTAATCAAAACACTTTTTGAGAAATGTGAGAATCTATGATATCTGTCAAAATCAGAAAGCTTTTGTTTCAGCACAAATAAATTGTAGGAGGCAAATGCCATGTGAATCCTCGTGTGACATGGAGATTAAATTACCAGAAGTGTCTTTTAATTTTTTTTTCCTATTAATATAGAAGCCTTCTAATTACCTTTAATGTATAGTTAGAGGTATGAAGCTATGGGTGGGAAATACTGTCAAGTATTTTTTTTCCTGAAGTCTGTTAGGAAATTTTTGGGAGAAATTGAAAAGACTTGAATCTACGAAGGTACAGACTGCCTGGCTTCCTGTTGTTCTTACTACTGAATTCTGTGTTACCAATATCATAAAGAACTTGTATAGGTATCCCATGTTCATTTTCCTGGCCTTTTCTGTAGCTCCATCATACCATCTGGGCGCAGTTTACGTGCTGTTCATGAGTCCTCTGGCTGTATCATGGGTGTTTGTCTGCCAGCCACAATATAGATTTGTTTTTAGCTTGCTAATTTTTCTCTGCTCTGGTGAAACATCAACAAGCCAAGAGCACTTGCATGCCTTAGCGTGAAGTGTTGCTCTGTCTCTGGAATCAGGTGTTTGGTGTTATTCAAATTAAGTAATTTATGCTTATTTATTTCACACACATGAAACACACAACAGTACTGTCTGTATGCCAACTAAATTATGCATGATAAGCTCTCTTTCTTAAAAGTACATATGGTTGTGTTTTAATAAATAAGTAGTCCGTGGATATTTCAGAGTTGTTTTTTTTTCATTCTGGATTTTTTTGAAGTTCTGTAGGCAACCCAAAAAGCTAGACTCCTTAATTACATTCATCCCATCTTCCCCGCTTTTATATTTGACTTCCAGTAATCTGTCATCTCTAAATAGTCCTGCCTTAGATTCAAATGCTTCGTTGATAAGGTTTGCTTTCTGTATGTCTGTTGGCTGCAAATATGGGCAAAACACTCTTCAGGGTGGCCAGCTCGAAGAAAATACTGCATCAGTGGGAGTGAGATGCAGCTGTCAGAGAGGTTGGCACCTCCCGCATGCTGGTAGCCCTCCAGAAGCCCTCTGGACAACCATCGAGGGTACCTCCCCAGCCGCTGCAAGCAGATGCATGTCAGGGAAGAAGCAGTAGGAGGAGTGGTAATTGGCAAAGCTTGCAAGGCTTGGTGCTCAGCTGGGTAGAAGTCTTGGCTGTGGAGCAGTGCTGGTGTGGAGTTCAAAACTGAGTTGTGAAATGTGGAGGCAGGCGCATCATGTCGGTGGGCAAAAACCCATGAATTTGGGGAGAATAATGAAGTGAGGGGTGGGGGGTACAAGGGGGTTTGCTCTTTGTGCAGTGCTTTTCTGTCTGTCTCTGGCATCAGCAGAGGCTATGGCCTGGAGGTTACAGCAAAGCCTCTGCCATGGAGGGAGGCTGGGGAACTGCAGCGTGGGGGCAGAAACACTGAGCAATGGGGAGAGGCCAGGGGGGAACACCTGGGGATCAGATGGTGTTGGCGGAGAGGGTGTGGGTGAACGAGGATTTATCATTGCCCCAGTGGTGTGAGGAGGATGGAGAGCTTTAGAAGCGGTGTTGTGGAGAGGAAAGGGCGTATGGCAAGCTCTGGCATGGAGAAAGTGGGACATGAGGGAAGGGTTAGGTACGTAAAAACCCTTGCTCTTCTGAAGATGACTAAAGGCAGTGAGGGAGACTCTCTGGATAGGAGCAAATTAAGAGGATAGCACTGTGAAGAGGAGGAGGAGGAGACGACAGTCAGGAGTGAGTGGTGAGGACAGAAGCTTGGCATGATGGACCAACAGAGCGGGCAGTCCCTGGGCATGTCTGCAATGTCCTAACAGCTTGCAATATCCCAGGAGCAAGGACTTCATTTCTGTTCTCTTTAAAAGAGCACAGAAAACACGAGCAAAGAGTGGTCTTGCAATAAAGCAATTTAATTTCATCTCAAAAAAAAAAGAGGGGGGAAATAAAAGGCAATTCTAATTGAATGAGATTTCCTGTAGTTTATCAACATTAATAATTAAAGTATTGCAAGTACACAGAATAGAATTAACTGGAAATAGAAACAGAACAGAAAAATCTAGAATTAACAAACGCCTGCATGCGGGGGAAAGGCTTCCCCTGCTCTCGGTTCTGCCCAGCATCCTTGCACGCAGCGGCATGGCCAGCTGCTGAGCTGCTGGAGGTTTGGAGACTGGGAAATCAAATCTTCCCCCTGAAAAGTGACAGCTGGCAAACAGGGTCTGTTTACTACCCAGCACCTGTAGTCCAGCTCAAATCTTCTTAATTTCTTCACAGTCTGTCCCAGGTGGAAAATAGATTCACAAGGTGAAAAACCTTGTATCTTGTGGTTCCTTCACCTACATGTGACAGCCCTCATTTGTCTGCTCCCTTTGTTTTTTCATGTATGCTGTCAGTGTATTAGAAAAAAACTGTTTATGTGAGCTGTGCCTCCCTGGGGGGTGACAGAGGTGAGAGAAAATTGAGGAAAGGTGGGGTGGTGGACATGACCATAGAGGGGAGGGCAGCACCCTCTGGGAATGCTGCAGAGGAGGTTGACCCAGGCTGCCATTGAGAGGTCCTCATGGCCAGGCAGGTGTGACCTGACTTGTGGATGCTGCTCTGGTCCCCCCCAAACCCTGTTTGCCTGGTGCTTCTGCTCCCATCTCCTGGGCTTTGCAGGCAGCTACTGGTCGCTGGGACAGCCCTGCCCTGCCCGGCGGCAGTGGGGCGAGGGAGCGCTCCTGGCCCTGGGGTGCTCTCCTGAAAATAGGAAGATGAGGTGATGTTGCTGACTTAATGGAAAAATCAAAGGAAGGTTTCGTCTCCAAGACTTAGTAGGATAATATAAATAGAGACCTAATTCTGCAACGCAATTACAGAGGTAATGCGTGATTCCAAGGAAAAGGCTTGAAAAATTTACGTGAAACCTTATTCATTAAAATAGAATGAACATGGCACAAAGTTAAGGAATGACAATAAATCTGGCCTATGTTATATTGGCATTTAGTATTCAGGAATTGTAATTGCCTACTACAGTGTGTTTTAAAATAATGTAATTTCATTTGAAATGCTAATTATATAGAGAACACTGGGAAGAACTGAAGCACGGCAAAAATAATAGGATTTTAAACAGTAGACTGACAGTATTTCAGTGTTTAATCTTAAAGAAAATATTTCACAAGACTTATTATTTTCAAATTTTTTTCCAGTTTTTCCTAAAGTTTCCTTTGTTTCCAGACCAGAACTAGAGGGAACGGGGAATAGATCTGCTTGTGATTTTTTTCAGAAAGTTTTGGGGATTCTTCTAGATTTCTAGTTCTTCTCCTTTATTTCCCACCCCTTCAGATGGGGAAAAATAAGTAGACTGAATAGAAAAAGAGAAGAATATTTGGAAGAGCTTTGGCAGTTGAGGGATCCCATGATACTGCATTTAGACCTTTGAATAGTTTTCCTGACTTCTTTATATGCATATTTGCAATCCACAGACATTTATGTTATATTTAATTGCATAACACTCCAATACATGTCTTCATCACCCATCTAAAAATATTGCTACCAGCTTGGAGACCAGATGCAGAAGGGATCAGGCTTACAGCTGACGGTCACTGGTGTTTTGCTAGAGGACCCTCTTTCTTTTGCATGTGCACGTAGGTGGTGACAAGGAAGAGCAGAGCCTTAGGGTGCACTGGACACCAATCCTGGCACCAAGAAATATTCCTCCCTCACTGCCTTGGAGCGAAGAGCATAAGGTGTTAGTGTATGGCCGAGCTGGGACAGCCACCTTATGCTGAGGTACATGCGTAGGGGTGCAGAAAGGTTGTGTCTCTTGAGCTGCACAGAGAGATAAATTGTAGCTTAGGATGTCATCCAAACTGTGTCTTCACACATGTCTTCAGGTTAGAGCAGAAAATTATTTGGGGCTTGCTTTGGGTCCAAAGATGGCCAATCCACTATGGCTTTCCTGGGTGAGAAATTTGCCACCCAGTCTTGTGCAAACCACAGTGACCAGTGGTTGATGGGATTACTCTTGAGTGTTAACTGCAACAAGTAGGCATTTTTATTTTAAACTAGGATAATCTGCAGGTGTGACTAAACACTGCTGGTCTCGGGGCTTTTTAGCGTTTGAATGGTGTTTGAGCAGCTCACAAATGTGATGTTCAGGCCTGTATTTCCTCCATGTCACCACTCAGGTCTCAGCAAGGTTTTCTTTTTTGCCACTGGGCAAATGCCACCCTTCCCTGTCATCCTCTCTTTGCCTCCAAAATAACAGCCTCCCAGTAGATCTTGGCATACTTTTAGGGGTGAAAGGAAGGGCCACTGCTCAAGTGTAAGTAGGAATGTGATTGCATACAGCTGCTATACTGTTTTTCATTTCTCCTCACTATCCCAGCTGAGATGATGATGAAAGTCAGCA